TGAAGATTCCAGTATCTGGTCTTGACTTTCTAATGGATCACTTTCTTTTTCAAAAATATCTTTAGAAATTTCACTTTTTAAATTTAAAATGTCAGCCTCTACACCTGTATTCTCAGGTTTGTCTTCTTCCCCCTCTCTAACTAACACAGGAGGATCGTCAGTACAAGATCCAGAATATGAAGATTCTACTTTTTCCTCTACATCATGATTCTCCTTGCATTCATTTTCTTCTATTTGTTCACTGCAACTTTTCAAGCACTTAGCAGACTGATTTTCTACATCTGTCTGCACAGAAAAAATGTTAGTACTTTCTTCTACATCTGATTGTTGCTCTTTCTCTAACACAGGTGGTGCATCAGATTCCAGTGTTTCTTCCTCTACTGAATCACTAGATGATGATTTTTCAGGGGGAGGTACAGATCGCCGAAGTTTCTTTTTCAATACAGGTGGTTTTCTTCCTCTTCTTACAGACTTCCGTTTTGGGGCCTGCCTTGTTTGTTTTTCTGATTCAGCTGGAGAGAAAACACTTACAGAAGGATTATTGTTACCTGGGGCATCACACCCAGAATTATTTGATGTTGGAGATATCTGAGATTGACTGACTGTCTCAGCTTTTGTGTTACGTGTAGATCTCCTTGTAGGAGTTGCTGCAGGTTTTCTTCTTGTTCCTCTGGTATTTGAAGTACCAGAAGTTTGTTTCTTTTCTTCTCCTTCTTGGGTATGTGCTAATGCATATCCCTTGCAAGGAGGACCTGATAATGTTGAAAAACAAAACAAAAAACTGTAAAGTATATTTCAAACAGAAGTGGAATAGTTTGCTTTAGTTAATTTTAGTATTAAAAAAAGTATAAAACATATTGAAATATATCTTTGAAATTTTAAGTACATAGGTACTGATATCTGAGTAATATAAGGCTTCAACGACTTTCTTAAAATGTTAGTGAAATAAGTTATAACCAGATTTGGACCCATGTGGGGAACTTTATATGAGAAAAATAAAAGGAAAATATATTAAATCGGGCAACTGCTATTTTTTTTTATGAGATGTTACTATTTAGGCAAAAAGAAAAAAGAAAACTGTCAAGTTAGCCACAAGTAAAGACTCAGAATACTTGTTCTTAATTAACAGATATTACTTCTAAAGATCTATGGTTTGGACGCTGCATCCCTGAACAGAAAGGAAACTTCTAATCAGTTGCTCAAAGTCTCAGTTATAATTTCTTAAAATTTTAAAGTGGATTGTCTAACTTTTAGAGTTGACAGATGAAGATGTATTTGCCATATACAACACAATGCTTTGAAGTATATATACATCATAGAATGACTAAATCTAGCTAATTAACACATATTACCACACAATATATTTTTGGTGACAACACTTTACATCTACTCAATATTTTTCAAGATTATGTATAACATATGAACTATAGACACAACGTTATACAACAAATCTCTTGAACTTATTCTTCCTAACTCAAATTTTGTATCCTTTGACCAGTGTTTCTCCTATTCCACCCCACATATCCCAGCTCCTGCTAACCACCATTCTATTCTCAATTTCTATGAAATCACTTTTTTAGAAACTACATGAATGAAATCATGTAGTATTTGTCTTTCTGTGTCTGGTTTATTTCACTTAGGATAATGTCCAAGTTCATCCAGGTGGTTATAAATGACAAAATTTTCTCCTTTATAGCTGAACAGAATTCTACTATGAATATATTTTCTATTTGGAATGATTTTAAAGTCAAGTCATTTCCCAATTATTTCCAGAAATGTTTCAGAGCTACTATATTTTACAACTTTTCTAAGTCAGCAACACATTTCTATGAAATTGAAAGAAGCTAATAATTTTTTAAAAACAGAAAAATATTTTAGAAACTTTACCAAAATTTTCTAAAGATATGGTACTTGTTGGAAAAATAGTTCTTGGCAACACATAAGAAATGAGAGGAAGAACTTCTGCTTCAACATTCCAAGGTATAAAACCAATTCTGAAAATTTAAAACAAAGATGGTTTAGTTTTAAAAAAATAAACTACAATTTAAAATTAATTTGCCAAATCAGGTTAGCAATCTTAAAATACTATGCTTAAACTGTTTTGCCTAATAAATAAAAATATAAAATAAAAGTTACTCATGGCCCAAAGATGGCTACTAATTCACTACAAAGGAAAAAACTTTTAAAATCCCGTTTTTCTGTTAAATTAATGGCAGAGAGACAAAGACAATATAGATGTTTCTTTTTTAAAAGGTTAGTATTTCATCTTTTATTCCTCTGCCACTCTAAAATCAACTTTGAAATGTAACCTAAAACACAGATTTTAAGTGTCATTTAATGATTTTAATCTATCTATAACCATACATTTACATCTTTCTAGAAAACTCCTTATGTTTCTTTGCAAACTCCTTCCTTTCTACACAACCAAGGAATCACTATCATATCACTATATGGCATCTTGATCTGGGGGTGATGGCCTTTCCGTGTCACTGTGGACCAGTTAGGAGCCTCCCCTCCCCTGCCAATATTCTGCATTTAAACTGAATCTACTTAACAAGCTTTTTTCTTATTTGCCGGTGTTAAATTCAGGTCTCCTAAAAAAGTTATTTCACTGAGTATAAGGAGAGAGTCTGACGTAAGAGAAGCTTTAAAATAATGTGCAACTTGCATATGTACAAAAATGTGTAACTGTAAGGAAAGGTTTGAGTATACATTACCTGGACTTCCTAATTTTACTTCTACTTAAGTTCAATCATCATTCCTTGAGGGTGAAGGTCATATACAGAGTTATAGTGAAGAATAAAAAGTCATAATATGTTATAGGGAATGAATATAAAACTCAAGAGACCATGATCTTTATGTAGGATGTACTTGGCACTTGTGCCAGTAACTTCAGGACTTGAAAGAAAGGTCTGAACTATAGAAAGTCAGAATACCAGAGCACACTAAGCACTTGATCAAGTACTCATTTAGAAGATTTTGGAAAAAAAAGGAAATACAGAAAAAAATGCTTCAACAGACAGCACACAGGTCAGAATGGAGAAAGAACAGAAGGTTGACAGGTCTGAATGTTATTACTAATAATGAATCTTGCTAGTCTGGTGCTCTCCCCTCTAAATCAATCTAGCATAGAAATACCTAAACTCATTAAACAGATGAATTAAGGATTCTGTCCTTGCCAAAGGGTCCTTTACATTGAAATCTTCATTACGTATCTGAAACACCAAAGTTTTTAACAAAATTTCCTTAGGAAGATAACTACTGAATAAGTACCCTCATACTTAAGTATTAATGATATCTTGTGTTCATCTTAGAATGTAAACATTTTGATGAACACTTCTTTTTTACCTTCCAATTCCAGGTAATGAATCAGGAAACCATGACAATTCCAGTTCCTGTCTCTTCTGCCCAATCAAGGCACTGATTTCATTGACTGCCATAAATTCTGTACTGAAAGATAAATTGAGACCATCAGAATTTCAAAAATTAAAGGTTAGAGTAACAATTGGATTATGTCAAGAATAGCAGTTCTCATACACAGTATTATGGATCATATTTATGAAAATAAGAACTTTTTCCTTTTTAAACACTTTCATATAGACTCCTTAACATAAGTAAAATTATCACAAATAAAAAATTACCTAAATTCTAAAAATAATCTTTGAATTTGATCATAAAATGACAGAATTTTCAAAGCATCAATTCAGACTAATAACCCCATTAATGAGAGAAATTCTAGGTACAATATTTTCCTTTTTTTTTTCCCCCGGTACCAAGGATCGAACTCAGGACCTTGCCACTGAGCTAAATCCCCAGCCCTCAATAATTTCCCTTTTTTTGGGTACTGGGGATTGAACTTGGGACCTTGCGATTGCAAAGCAGGCTGCGGAACCACTGAGCTAAATCCCCAGCCCAACAGTTTCCTTTTTTAAACAACACATAAAACAAATGAAGAAAACAAAGAAAAGTATGGTTATTACAACCAAGAACGGATACAATTCAGCTTTTTAAAAGGTTACTCAGACTGTTTCTTTGGTAGTTTGTCAAGCTGTAAAACTAAATCACACAATCTTGTTGTGCCATGTTGGTCCTACTACCTCTATGTGATTTTAAAACCCAAACTTAATCTTCAAATTCCACAAATATCTACTGAGCATCTACTGCCAGTCACTATGGATTCAAAGATGATAGGATCTGCTCTAAATGAGTTCTGCTTTATTAGGTACCACTCCAACAACTTAACAAATAGCCTCCTTCCCCGTCACAGAATAAGACTGTACAGAACAACTTATTATGGAAAACAAAGCCCACTGGCAGGCTTTGTATGACAGAGAAACTCAAAAAACAAGGTTTCTCTTTGCTAGAGGTAGTTTATTTTCCAAAGAAAAACAAAACAAGGTGAACTTTCATAATTTTTAATTGAGCCTAGTTTAAATTTCTATCAAAAGTTAATTATAATGATTAAATTATCAGTAATAAAGAACATACATTAAATGTAGAAAATACTAACCAGTAAGCTCTGCGAGTAAAGGAAGAGTCTCCATTATGACTACCAGAAGAAAATATATTGGAGAAAAAATTTCTGAAGCAATAACTTGTACACTGATTTGATCTTCGAGGCTAGAAATATAAGAAGCAGTTAGTGAAACAGGAAATAAGCATACTTCAATAATAGTTACACTTAAATATTTGTATATTACCGAGGCACTTGCGCTATGTAACCATAAAGTGTTACTATCTGTAAAAAAGAATCTTTTATTTCTACAAACCTTATCTATCTTTATTGCTGCATTTTTCTTTCCTCCTGTTTTATGATATGAAGCGTTTCCTGTAGAAAAACACAAAGGACTTGGTTACTTTGCCTCAATTTTTATTCTGAAAGGTTGTAAACCTTTGACATTGGCAAGAGAAAGTTAAAATACACAGAAAAGACTTGCATTTATATAATTTTTTCAAATGCTAATGTCATCTTATCTTGTTAAGCCATGAAGATGAGAAAAATATAAAAGGTCAAAATAAAAACTGCTATGCTCAAAGCGCACAACCATTAAAATTCTAGTCAACATTTTCTGCCAACCTATGCAAAACCTTAAACTATCTTGTAACAAAAGGAATATATAAGTCATCACACTGTTTAGTATCAGTGGTATGCTTAGTATTTCTTTTGTGACCTAAAAGACAGGTACTGCTGTCTCATCACAGGTAGGAGCTGAGCAGTGGGAAGTGAGGCCACCAGCCTTTTTCAATCGTAAATTAGTTTAGCCACCAGTACTCAATTCAAGTAAGTATTCCCCTTCTTCAAACAGAAGTACTGATTAAAACAGCCTTTCAGGACATACAATCAACATAAAAAACTCAATACTTTTCTATTCATCAATAATGAACTAGCTGAAAAAGAAACCAAGAAAACAATTCCATTCACAATAGTTAAAAAAATTATCTAGGTAAACCAGGCGTGGTGGCAGGAGGATCACTTCAAGTTCAAGGACTGGACCACACAGTGACTTCAAGGCCAGCCTGAACTTCATAGTGCGACCTTGTTCCAAAAAACAAATCAAAACAAACAAACAAAAAAACCAATCAATCAATCAGTCAAGGTATCATACTAACCAAGGAAGTGAACAACCTCTACAATGAAAATTACAGAACACAGAAGAAAGAAACTGAGAACACTAGAAGATAGAAAGACCTCCCATGTTCATAGATCGGCAGAACTGTTAAAATGCCCACATTACCAAAAATAATCTATAGATTCAATGTAATTCCCATCCAAATTCCAATGACTAGAAAAAAAAAAATCCTAAAATCCACAGGAAAAAATGAAAGACCCAAAATAGCCAAAGCAGTCCTAAGCAAAATGACCAAGACTAGAGGTATCACAATACTGGATTTCAAATTATATTACAAAGCCATAAAAACAAGAACAGTATGGTACTGACACAGAAATAGACATATAGACCAATGAAACAGAGAACACAAGGGCTGGGGATTTAGCTCAGTGGTTCCGCTGCGTGCCTCACAAGTGCAAGGACCCGAGTTCAATCCCCGGTACCAAAAAAAGAAAGAAAGAAAGAAATAGAGAACACAGAAATAAACCCATACTGGGCTGGGGATGTAGCTCAGTAGTGCCAAGCCTGCCTGCCAAGCACAAGGTTCGATCCCTGCTACTGGGGGAAAAAAAAGGATAAACCCATACCACTACAGCAATCTGATTCTTGACAAAGGCACCAAAAACATACCCTAGAGAAAAGACAGCTGCTTTAACAAATGGTGCTGGAAAAACTGGCTATCTGGTAATAGAAGATTTAATCTAGATTCCTAGCTCACTCACTCTGTACAAAAATCAATTCAAAATGGATCAAAGACCTCAGTATAAGGCCTGAAACTCTGAAACCTCTAGAAAAAAATGGGAAACACTTGAAGCCATTGGCACAGGCAAAGACTTCCTGAACAGGACTCCAATAACAGAGGAAATAATACCAAGAATCAACAAATGGAACTATGTCAAATTAAAAAGTTTCTACACAGAAAAAGAAACAGACAGAAGAGGCAGCCGAATGAATAGGGGTAAATCCTTCCCAGATACTCTGACAGAGGATTAGTATCTAGACACCAACACACAACAACACCCGCCCCAATATTAAATGGGTAATTCTCAAAAATAGTACAAATGGCCAATAAAGATTATGAAAAAATGTCCCACACATCTTTAGCTATTAGAGAAGTGCAGATCACAACTACATTGAGATTCCATCTCACCAAAGTCAGAATGGCTATCATCAAGAATATTAAAAACAATAAATGCTGTTGAAGATGGAGGGGAAAAGGAACCCTCCTACAATACTGGTAGAAATGTACATGGCAACCATACAGAGAGATTCCTACAAACAACTAAAAACAGAAGTACCATATGACCTAGCTATACCACTCCTTGGAATTAAAGACAGCATTCTAAAGGGATACCAGTATATTCATGTTTATTATAGCATAATTCATAACAGCCAAGATATGGAATCAGCATTAAGTATCCATCGATGGAAGAATGAATAAAGAAGTTGTGACAGAGAAAGACAATGGAGTATAATTCTGCCACACAGAACAAAATTATGTTATTTGCAAGAACATGGATACAAAAACAAAGAACATGGATACAAAATCATGTTGTAAAATAAGCTGGGCTCAAAAAGACAATTACCACATGTTTTCCCTAGTATGAGGAATCAAAAAGAGATGACATGAAAGTAAGAGGGAGACTATTAGTAGATAAGAAGATGGCAATAAGGGTGAGAAGTGTGAGGGATATAAGAGAAGATAAAAGGGGAGATGTGGGTAAAGCTATTAAGGATATTAAGAAATCATGTTGAAAGAGCAGGTTACAAAACAGGAGGTTACAGAACAGTATATATAGCACTGCCTACTTTTTAATTTCAAAATGCATTAATGTATAGAGATGTCAAGAAATCATCGAGATTAGTGCTCATGTAATTATTTCAATCTGTCTCTGGGAATGAGATGTTGAGCACATTTTTCTTTTTAGGAGTATTTTTTACCATGTGCAACATGAAACGTTTCTAAGTGAAGGAAATTAAGAACTGCTGTATATGAGCTGGTGGATATGTAATTTGATTGTAGTAATCATTTTACATGTATGTATGTCAAACTATGATTGTATTTGTCAGTTACACTTAATTTAAGGGAAAAATCCATACTTTTTCTTACAGTGATGTTGTTGGCTGCATTGTTTATGACTTTTGTTGTTGTTTAACTGGTCGTCTGAAGATTAATTTCTATGAATACTTCCACATTAGAAAAATTCAGACTAACCACAAAAACTATTTACAGCTTTACAGATTTTGTTCTTAGTTTTCCTCTATCATCAAGCTTCTATTATTAATCATCCCTACCTATCAATACATGGTCCACAATAAACTGCTACTGCTACTGTCACTGCTACCCTTCTCAAAACTCTAGAAAATGCTTACAGTACTAATGACAAGGTTTTTTTTTTTGGTACCAGGGACTGAATGCAGGACCTTGCACTTGCGAGGCAGGCGCAGCGCCACTGAGCTAAATCCTTGGCCCTGTGACAAATTTTTTTTTTAACCTTTAGCCTTGTTTGCTTCACAAAAAAAATCACAAAGTTTTTTCACAAAAACTTTCTACAAAATAAATCACACTAACCAGGAGGCCTGTTCCCTACTATTGCATGATTGTATGTATTTTTGTGTGCTCTTGTTAGTCTGGTTGCTAAAAGCCTACCTTCTACTTACTGGTATACTAATTTCCTTCTAAGTTGCTATGCAACAACTGTTTGATTTAGAACTATTATCTATCCTTCACACACATCCCACCCTCAACTGTTGTAACAAATGGAAGTTAGATGTTGAGAGCAACAGAGATGACTGTTTCAGGAACTAACTTTCCATTGTACCCCTTTAATATCTACCTAAAAGATAACCCAATGATTTTCAAAATTCCCTAAGAAGCCAGGGGTAAAAATGTGGTACTACACAGCTGCATTCCCAGAATTGCTGTGCTGGGTTAACATAGTGTCTTGTATGCCCTAAGGTGCTGAGTTGTTTTGATAACACTCAATACTTAATGAGTATACACTGTTTATATAGAGTGCTTTCATTTGGAAGGCTATCTCAGGAAACAATCATTAGACAAAATGTTCTCTATAGAAAGCACTGTTAAGTTTTCTAGCCATACTAAGTACTGAGTGCCTCCAATGACAACCTCTGAAACATTCAATACTGATCAATTTCTCTAAATCATGGTCACCTAGATATAATATCACAAATCCATCTTACCAATCTTCCTTTAGAAAGCAGTGATTTGCCTTTTCATTTAATATTTATGAATGTTATGCATATATATAAGCAAGCAGCACTTCTAGGCATATGACACAAAAACTACAGAACTATCCACTCCTGATTTCTGCTTACCAAAAGTACTCCTCAAATCTTTTGTTTCTTCTAATATTTAACTATTTCTTAATGTCTTTATACATAATAAGAAATACAAAATTAATTTAAACAAAAAATGATTTTGTTTCAGATATATTTTAGTGAGCATGTGAGTGTGTGGTGTGTGTGTTTTACTGGAGTTTGAAACCAGGTTCTCACTGAGCTACATCCCTGGCTTGCTTTCTTTATGAATGGATGGATGAGTGAATGGGGGAATGGATGGATGGGTGGGTGAATGGATGGACAGGGCCTTGCCAGGTCACCCAGGCTGGGCGCAAAACTTGCAATCCTCCTACCTCACCCTCCCACAGTGATGGCATTATGGTCATATACCACCATACCTAGTTGTGTTTTATTGTTTTTCTAATGGAAGATAAAGGTGTTTTCTCTTTATCACTGCCATACCCATCCTCTTTGCAGCCTTCACTGTCTCTATGTGATACAGGACATGATGTATTATAACTACGTAACTATTAATAGGAGTTAAACCATGGCTATTTGCCATAAACAACTTCTTGCTTTACCTAAATCCAGTAACAGCTTCGTTTTCTCTATTTCTTTTTCTATGTATTTACCATTAATTTATGTAACTCTACAATGAAAGCATAGATCTCCCCACCCTCATCCTGTACTTGGGATTGAACACACAGGTTTTCACATGGAACTACATCCCCAACACTTACATTTATCTTTTGAGGCAGGGTCTTGCTAAATCATTAAGTTGCTCAGCCTGGGCTGCAACCTGTGATCCACCTGCCTCAGCCTCCTAGAGTGTTGCAGATCTCTCCTTATTACACCCTAAGACATCAACTCATCCATCAAATTTGTTCCCTACTCTCTTGGAAATACTCTTCCTTTA